GGCTACCTCCCTGGACTTTTTTAGGGGGAGGTAACAATGTTTAAAACAATAACAATAATAATATTTATATTTATAACAAGGTGCAATAATAATTAACGTGCAATAATAACAGTGTGCAATACACATACACTTATTCTTCTTTTTTATTACTAAGTTAATATACTGCGTTGTGTTGTTTGTGTTGCGTTGTGATGTGTCATATTGTGTCGTGTTGTGTTATATGTAGTGCCGACGTAGGACAGTTTTCCAATTTCATTGTACTACTGTACTATGTATGACTGTGCAATGACAATAAAGAGTTATCTTATCTTATCTTATCTTATCTTATTGCTCATACTGGTAGCAGCAGTAACAAGATAAAAATCAACCTGCTCCATGATGTCTTTCACTTTATCTTGTTCGCAGTCCAGTATGATGCGTCGTTCCTTACGGATCTCCAGGTCCTAAAAAAATAAGACAACAAGCATCCAACATTATTACACAGTCTTTAAAGATGTGTGTGCTCACAGTACAAGATCAAATTGCATCCTCCTGAGGTGCAGTGCTGCCACATACTGCTTGACACCATAGGTTAGACAAAGATATTTATTATAACTAGCTACAAACCCCTGAAAAGCTTTCTGGAAAAGACAAACTAAAAGCTTAAGCTTATTTTAGTATTTAAAACAAGCATATGTAAAAACAATAGATAACATCAAAGCAAAGTATACTCTACAATGCTGTACAGTTGACAAAGCCCTTTTCCCAAGACATCACAGACCAAGTTTTGGTCAGGACCTATAGGCTTCAAATTGTAAGGCACTAGCTACTGTGTCAGTATGTGGTGGGAGTGGGAATGTGCTGAGCTAACTTTAGAATAAGTGCATAAAAGCATGTTTTTATTTTTTAAGGGTTTTTTTTATGTCCTTTCAATCAGCGATCAGAATTATTGTCTAAACACCAAGAAAAATGCCCAACAGATTTGTTTTCCCAAGTAGACCATTACAGCTATTGCTATACGGTCCACTTAATTGTCATATTTGTTTATTATTATTATTATTATTATTATTATTATTATTATTATTATTATACATTTTTATTTTATTTTCATTTTGAGTTATTACAATCAGAATGGACAGGACCGGGGACAGGAAAGAGAAAGGAAGAGAGGTTGGGAAGAGAGTTAAATGAAGGAGAGGGGAAGAAAAATAGAGGAAAAGAGGGATAGTGAGAGAAAAGACACTGAAAATCTGCTTGATCACCTGCTGAGAGAAAAAAAAGACAACCAAAAAGAAGATAACACAGTAGGGAAACCACAGGTAAATAATAAATATTGAATGTTACTGAGCAGCATACAGTACTAATGATGCATGAAATGTTTAGAGGCAGCAGCCAACCAAAATAGTGTGTGTCTGTGAGTACCTGTTTGTACACCTGTGTGCACACCTGTGTGTGTGAGCGTGCTTATGTTCATAGGATTTCTCCATGTAAGCATCTAATAGTGGGTATTGGAAGCCATAGCTCTGCCCCCCAGGTCATGATGCAGGACAAAAAAAACATCCATCCATCTGCTTCCGCTTTTTTTCAGGTCGTGGGTGGGGGCTGGAGCCCATCACAGCTGTCTTAGGGTGAGAGGCAGGGTACGCCCTGGACAGGTCACCAGTCTGTCGCAGGGCTAACACACAGACACAGACAACCATTCACACTCCCATTAACTCCCCTTTGGGCAATTTAGAGTTTCCAATCAACCTATCCTCACTAACTGCATGTCTTTGGACTGTGGGAGGAAGCCGGAGTACCCGGAGAGAACCTACGCAGACACGGGGAGAACATTCAAACTCCACACAGAAAAACCCCAGCCTAATGGTGGAATTGAACTCAGGACCTTCTTGCTGTGAGGCAACAGTGCTGTTTGGCTTCTCTGAGTGTTTAGTCCATTTTAAATTCTGTTACCTTCTGTTAACCTACTTTCATGTGTTCCCTGGACTCCTAGACTCTGTTACCTTTCCTTCATGGAATTCCTTTTGGACTGCTTCCGCTACTATTTATTGTAAATAATAAAGATGTTTTTTTTCTGGAAAAATCGTCATTCCAGAAGAGGGTTGTATATGATGAATGGAGGGTCCTTCACCAAGGGGAAGAGGTGGCTGTAGCTCAGAAGGATGCCCAGGCCATCAGCTAATAAGAAGGTTGGTGTTCTGATCCCTGGCTGCTCCAGTCTGTGTGCCAAATATCCTTGGGTGACATACTAACTACAAGTTGCTTTCTGATGCATTCACTGGAGTGTGAATGTTAGTAGTTAGTAGTTAGGAAATAAAATGGTCAGATGCTCAGCACTATATGAAGACATTTTGCTTTTTAGATATTGATAAAATGTTTTCATATATCTGGATTAATGTGACTATTTTATTTTCATGTCAAATAGTTGGACTGAGTGCTGGTGAAAAAAAGACTTGTTTTGTAAAAACACTTTTTTGAGAATTGTGAACATGGTTTAAATAAAATAACTAAAAAAAAAACATATGGAGTTATTTCAACATTTATCCACTGAACTGTGAACAAAAAATAAAAAGACTGAATTCTTGGAACAATTCTCCAACTCATTTGAAGAGAGAAAAGAAAGGAAAGAGAAGCTTGTTTGTTATAATCTAACCAAAATAACTTAAATATTTTGGACTGTGTCATTTGCTAAATTACTATGACATAGTCAGGATTTTCACATCAGGCCAACTGCAGTGCATGTACTTGCCAAAGAATAAATAACAGAAGACACTGTTGAAAATGCTGGTTAGCAGCCTAAACTGATGAAAAAGCTGTTATGACCAAAATTTTAAATTTGTGTCTAGAATTAGATTTTCTCCATCTCTCTCTTGCATTCCAATATAAGTGCAGAATACCAGTACCTGAAACAGGGACCGGTAGGCTTCATCCTTTCTCTCATCTTTCAGGTTTCCTACATTTATTGCAGTGACGACCCATTTTTTCTCTGCTGCAGTGTCCAGTATTACCTGAAGAGTCGAAAGACCTACACACACAGAGTCTCATTATTAATAGTTAATAATTCATTAACTTAAACATTTGTAGAACAAATCTCTATCTCATTCTTTTCTATTTCTATGAAGCATATTTCTCTGCCTTGCTGTGCTTTCTATAACTGTAGCAAGTTTCTGCATTTGCTTAACATTTTCTGTATTTACAATTATTTCAGTATCTTATCTTCAAAATTAAACACTAGCAATATTTATGCGATAAATGTTGAGAATTTCCTTACCTCGATCACTGTCATACAGATAGGCAAACTTTTCCCATTTGTAGTATTCCACTAATGAAACTAGTGGCCCCTTGATGTCCGGCCTCATTTGGAGAACAAACTGATTCATTCCTTCTGCTGGGAAAGAAGGTGTAATGAAGGAGACATGAAGTGTCTCACAAAAGGATGTGATGGTGTTGACCGATTTCTTGTCATAGAAGCCAAAAATGGCATAGACACCCCGAGAGAACTGGGAACAAACTAGGAAAGAGAGAAGAAGAGAAAGATTGTACAAATTAAACAGTGAGTTCACAGGACCTGGGAAGAATATTTGCACTCATTAAGTGTCCCAGTGCCTTTATCCCAAATAAACACTAAACGCACACTTACATTTAATCACATTGAAGAACAGTTTTTTAAATCAGGGTACATTAATAAGCACAGTAGTTACAATAGGAGTGGAAATTTTGTGGTTCACAATAACAAGTAAAATAAAATATTTCTAAAACAAAGCAACAAAAAAGAAGTGCTTCTGTCCAATTAAAAGCTAGAGGGCTTTATATCTGATATTATATAGACAGTGCTAAGTTTCTATAAGCTGCATAAAACAGTATAAGAGGCCAGGTGTAATAAGCTATAACCAATGCCAGTTCCAATCATCTGTTGAGAAAAAATGTCTGTATTTTGTGTCAGCATACATGATCCAGCTGTGTGGCTGCAGGAAGATGAATTATTCTGAATGAGAGAATTGGTATTAAGTGTTCTGGGTCGTTGACCCAGTGTTTTGAGTTTATTGTTATTATTTTCCAGTTTCTGCTGTTTTGTATTTGTTGTTATGGTTTGAGTTGTGTGTTTAGTGTTTCTATCATCCCTACCTGTGTCCTTCCTCTGTGTTCTGTTCGTGTCCCCGAGTTGGTATTGTGAAACAGTCTGTGAGTTTCCTGTTTTACTTTGTAGGTTTGTGTCTCGTTATGCCCATTAGTTCCAGCTGTGTGCCATTTCCTGATTACCTGGTGTGTGTATTTATACTGCGTGTCTGCCTGTGCTCCTCGTCTCGTCGTCTGCATTTCTCTGCATCATTTTGGTATGTCTCCGTGTCTCTCTGTTCCTCGCTTTGTGTCCTCTGTTTGTGTTAGTTTCACCAGTTTAGGTTTATGTTTAGTTCTGCCCTCACCTTGGGTTTTTCACTGTAAATAAATCTCCACCTGCATCTCCACTGCCATCTGCATCTTGGGTCCTCTTTCATTCCACCACACGACTGCTGCCCAGCCGTGACACCCACTGTGGAAAGTGACGTCGGCGTGACGTCTTCCATAAATCATTTTCCAAATTTGGTCCACTGAAGGGGTTGCTTTATAACACCAGGCAACATCTTTTTTTTTTCAAACTCTGCTGAACGTATGTTGTTGTCAGTGGTACGGCCACGGTGTAGGGGCTATTTATAGTCCAAATATGGTTGTTGTGGATGTCTTTTCAAAGTCAAACTTTGACTCATTTTAGAGATCATTTTCAATGATCATCAACCAGCAGAAAAACCACAAACCTCTCTTACTTTCCATCACAACTTCTCCCACCTTCTCTCAACCTTAAAAATTAACTATATATAATGCAAATGCACTTTGACACATTGCTTCACAAATTTAAACGAGCAAAGGGAATTTCAATTTCAAAAATACTTTAACCATTATTATTTTACATTTTAAAATGGATTTCATCGTTTTAATATATCAACAGATTTTAATAAATGACATTTTTAACCTTGTTACAAACAAATAAGTTGATATACTAAAATAAATAAACCAGTTAAAGAAAAAAAGAAAAATGCAAAATAACAAAAAAAATTACCCACGTGTAGTGAAGAAATCAATAGGCTAACACATAATAAATTATATTTGTTTATACATGATCCATATTCCTTTGTATCATGTTGACAAAATCAATGTTAATATTTGTAAATAAAAAATTACATTTATTCATAATGCAAATTTCCTGCAATTGTCATAGACGTCAACATTATGTCCGAAATATCATGTTTCGGTGTCCAAATTGTGAAACTTGTTTGGACGTCATATAGATATCTAGAATTGGTCATGGACTGAGGGACCCAATATAGACATGGTCTCCATCTTTAATTAACTTCATTATTTATTTCCACCAAATCATTAATGTGTCTTTTAGATCCCGTTTCTACAAGACTGCTCAAAGAAACCCTACAATTAATTGATGCTTCAGTCTTAAATATGATCAGCTTATCTCTAAACAATCAGCAATAGGCCTTCAAGCTGTCAATGTTAAACTCTATCTAAAACATCATCACCTGAGCTTAGCTCGTTAGTTATAGGTGAATCTCCAACTTCCCTTTATTTAAAGAAATTCTGAAAGAGTAGCTATAAAACAACTAACTGATCATCTGCAGAGGAATTATTTATTTCACCATCTTTCCAAGATGGCGGTGTGGACACATGCAGCAGCTGCTCTCTGTCCCAACAAAACAGTGTTCCCGTCTTTCTTATGCTCTTTTCTTGTTTTTCACAAAAACGCTTATACAGTTGTGAACTCCTGCTAAAAATCAACAAAAGCAAATCCACAAACTTTTCAGACATGGAAGAGCTACGAATTACACTGAGGAACTGCAGACTGCTTTGGAGGCATCTACCATCAGCAACCCCTGCTACTAGATCTCGCCCACAGTGGAAACGTCTCAGGTGGTGTGGGAGGAAACAGAAGAGGGGTAGGCTAGCGGCTAATCCACATAAACCCGCTATACCCACCGTAGTACTGTCCAACATGCGCTCCCTGGACAACAAGTTGGACGCTTACTTTGGTCCACAAGTCAGTGAGGGAGTGTTGTGTCTTTGCCTTTGTGGAAACTTGGCTTAACAATCACATTCCCACAGCAGCATTCAACTCGACCAGCTAACATGCTTTTCATTTTCAATTCAATTCAACTTCATTTATACAGCGCCAAATCACAACAATAGTCGCCTCAAGGGGCTTTGTATTTTAAGGCAGACCCTACAATAATACATTCAGAGAAAAAACCCAACAATCATGTGACCCATAAAACTCCCTTTTAACAGGAAGAAACCTCCAGCAGAACCAGGCTCAGGGAGGGGCAGCCATCTGCTTTTGGGCAGACAGTGCTCTCAATGAAGGGGTAAGACTCACGGAAGGGGACTCTGTGGTTACATCAACGATGCCTGGTGTCGTGGTGCTGTTGTGGATGGCAAACACTGTTCAACTCCGCCGGAGCTTATGATCATCAAGTGCAGACTGTTCTACCTACTGAGGGAATTTATACTGTTTGTTGCTGTCTGTATCCCTCCTTGCTCCACTAACAACAACAGGAGTGAGGCACTAAATGAACTGTATCAGCGTGTCAGCGAACAGCAGATGTCCCACCCAGATGCTTTTCTCGTCCTAGCGGGTGATTTCAATCATGCAGACCCAAAGACTGTGCTTCCCAAACTGCATAAACACATTAAATTTCCTACACAGGGGGGAAAAAACCCATTTTGGACAATGTTTTCACCACTCAGAGAGGAGATTACAAAGCCCTCCCCCTCCACCACCTTGGTGCCTGTCTTCTATTCTGTCTTCCTTCTCTCTCCCCAACTGGTCACAGCCCCTCCCTGAGCCTGCTTCTGCTGGAGGTTTCTTCCTGTTAAAGAGGAGTTTTTCCTTCCCACTGTCACCAAAGTGCTTGCTCACTGTTTTTGTGATTTAATAATGATAATGGATTGCATTTATACAGCACTTTTCTAGGCACCCAAAGTGCTTTGCAATTCCACTATTCATTCACTCTCACATTCACATACTCGCTGTACAACTGGGGCAGACTGACAGAAGCGTGCCATCGGCCCCTCTGGCCAACACCAGTAGGCGGTAGGGTAAAGTGTCTTGCCCAACAACACAATGACCAGGACAGCAAGAGCTGGGGGATCGAACTGGCAACCTTCCGGTTACAGATGAGCTTCCCAACCCCCTGAACTACAGTCGCCTCAATTTGGTACTATATATATAAAACTGAACTGAATTGAATTGCCTACCTGGAATTAGCATAACTGTTATGCTAATTCCAGCATACAAGCCCCTGGTCAAAGTCACCAAACCAGTTTGTAAGCAGGTACGTATGTGGTCTCAGAGACAATGGAAGACTGTTTTTCCACCACAGACTGGGAGGTCTTTAAACAGGCCGCCACACGTGACAACACCACAGAACTGCAGGAATAATCAGAAACTGTCATTTCCTATATCTCAGAGTGCATCGATGATTTCACAGAGACCAGGACCATCACTATCCAGGCCAATCAGAAACCATGGCTCACAGGTGAGGTCTACAGGCTTCTGAGGGAGAGAAATGCAGTCTTCAGAGCTGGGGATTAGGTGAGCCTAAGAACAGCAAGGGCAAACCTGCATCAGAGAAGCGAAAAGGCAATACTCCAGGAGGATTTCGCAAAGCTGGACGAGCACAGAGGGACTGTGCTGCAGAACTCACAGATGTCTTCACAGACATCTTTAATACATCACTGAGCCAGGCTGTCGTTCCCACATGCCTCAAAGCCTCCACCATCATTCCTGTACCAAGGAAGTCTCCTCCCTCCTGCTTTAAGAACTACCATCCGGTCGCACTCACCCTCAAGTGCTTTGAACAGTTAGTCATGCATCCATTTAAAACATCTCTTCCCCCCAAACTGGACCCATTTCAGTTCATATACCGGGCAAACCACTTGACCGATGATGCATTCTCAACTGCCCTTCACTCAGCCCTCACACATCTGGACACTAGAGACTCATGCGTCAGAATGCTGTTCATAGACTTCAGTTCAGCATTCAACACGATCATTCCCCAGCAACTCATTCACAAACTGGATCTGCTGGGGATCAGGAACTCGCTATGTAACTGGCTGCTGGATTTCCTGACAGGAAGACCGCAGACAGTACAGGTCGGCTGCAACACCTCCAACACAAGAACACTGAATACGGGGGCTCCCCAAGGATATGTGCTGAATCCCCTTCTCTTCAGTCTGCTGACCCACGACAGCACACCATCACACAGCTCCAACATCTTCATCAAATTTGCAGATGACACAACTGTGGTAGGTCACATCAGCAACAATGATGAGCCCTGCTACACGAGTGAAGTTAACCATCTGGCTGAGTGGTGCAGTGACAACAATATGCCCTGAATGTGGAGAAGACTAAGGAGATCATCACACCCTGCACACCCCACTAACCATCAATGGTGCTGCTGTGGAGAGGGTAAGCAGCACCAAGTTCCTGGGTGTGCACATCTCAGAAGATTTCTCTTGTTCAAAAAACACAGCATCACTGGTCAGTAAAGTCCAACAGCAACTCTACTTCCTCCGCAAACTGAGGAGAGCAAGAGCCTCATCCCCCATTGCGAGCACCTTCTACAGAGGCACCACTGAGAGCAGCATCACTGTGGTATGGCTCCTGCACTGCAAAGTAACGAGTAGTGAGAGCAGCGGAGAGGATTGTGGGCACTTCTCTTCCCTCCCTCCAGGACATCTACTGCACCCGCTTCACCTGAAAGCCCTCTGCATTACAGGTGACTCCACTTATTCATCCAACAGCTTCTTCAGTTTGCTGCCATCGTAAAAGAGACTGAAGAGCTTCTGGGCCAGAACCAGCAGACTGAGAGACAGCTTCGTTCATCAGGCTGTTAGGATGCTGAATTCACTCCCTGCTCTGTCCCTCGCAACTCTCACACACACGAACTCCAGACCTGCATTCACCTCTTCCCTCTGAACCCCCCCCAGACCTCTACCGACGCCTTTTCACTGACTGCCCCACCCCCACTTGAACACAAACTCTTGCCAAAAAGCACTCTGATTGTGTTGGACACTGTTGTTTATGTAAAATTGTATTGTGTTGTACATAAGACTTTTTATTTTTATGTTTATATTGTTTTAGTGTACACTGAGGGCCGTGGGAGAATTGCAGTTTCAAATTCCTGTGTATGACCAGTACATATGGTTTTTGGCAATAAAGTTGACTTTGACTTTCAGCGTTCAGGTTTCAGAGCATGTCACAATACCAAAACAGCTTCAGTGAAGAATACAAATAATCTTCTTATATTCCTCCAATATTTTATCATTAGAGAATGTTGTAGGTATTAGAGGTACTGCACTGCAACGGTTTAAATGGCCTGGTAATGGTAAATGGCCTGCATTTGTATAGCGCTTTACTCAGTCCCTAAGGACCCCAAAGCGCTGTACACTACAGCGAACCACCGACCTTCTGATTAGTGGCTGACCTGCTCTGCCACCTGAGCTACAGCCACCTAGTTAATCTGTTTTTAAATGGCATCTATCTAATACACTTCAATTTGCTTATGTAAATGAAGAGTTAATTATGGAGTTTCACAGGGTTCCATGCTAGGACCAATTGTGTTTCATAATATGTTTGCATTAGGCAGAATCATTAGAAGGCATAGAAAACATTTCCACTGCCTTGCAGAGGACACAATTTTTTTCTATCCATGAAACCAGATAACACACACCAATAAGTTAAACTACAGAATCATGGACATGTCCTTCAATGTCCATATTAACAAATTTGTAGCACTGCTTTGTCCCATTTGCACAATATCTCTAAAATTCAAAACATCCTGTAAGAGTGCTGAAAAACCAGTTCATGCATTTATTAATCCTAGGTTGGACTACTGTAAGTCATTATTATCAGGACGTCCTACAAACTCCCTGAAAAGCCTTCAGTTAATCCAAAATGCCGCTGCATACTGTACTGAAAGGGACTAGAAAGACAGAGCATATTTTCCCAATACTGGCTTCACTTCAGTGTCTCCCTGTTAAATCCAGAATCAAATGTAAAATCATTCCTCTCATGTGGAAGGTCTTGAATAATCAGGCCCTATCCTATCTTAAAGACCTTACTGTATCGTATCACTCAAATAGAGCACTTTGCTCTCAAACTGTGGGCGTACTGTGATTCCTAGGATATTTAAAAGTAGAATGAGAGGCAGAGCCTTCAGCTTCCAGGAGATTTCTTCCTGTTAACAAGGGTTTTTTGCTTCCCAGTATCACCATAGCTCTTGTTCATTGTCAGTCACCTAATTGTTGGGGTTTTCTCTGTTTTCTCTGTATTGTTTCTCTGTTGTGATTTAGTGCTATATAAATAAAACTGAATTGAAGGGTTTAGGGTTAGGATGAACAGCCACAGCACACTACACAACTATTGCTACATATTGCCATGTTTGTATTTTTTTAAATTTCAAGTATTATTCTAGACTTTTAAATAATGACCCAATAAAAAGATTTTTTTTTAAAGAAATGAAGAGATCCATACTTACAGCAGTTAGTAACAGCAAAGCTGTTGGCCACCTCCAGGTTATCTATGTGTGGAGTTAGCCTGAAATCTGCCATCCCAAACTGAACCATGCCAACTCGGAATGCACTGTACTCCTGATCTGCGCCCCTGGGAAATAAACCACCTGAGAAAAACAGAGACAGAAAAGGTTGTGGTCGTAAAGAAAAACAAAACTAAGTGGAGAAACAGGTTTTCTAGCTACAAAAATGTTGAGATAGGGACATTTTTACAACTTTATGTCTTAAAAAACAACAACAAAGAAATTGCAATCCTTCATTAACAATTGCTAAATTTTAGTTTCGTCAAAATGTTTTTATAATGTGATATGGAATCTCAGCAGTTTAGGCTCTCCTTTTTCATATTTATTGAGTTATTTACTTTTTTGTTTGTTTGTTCTATATTAGTTCAAATGTTCTGCATTTCTCTCATAAACTTCATACCTACCTGACACCTCCTCATCATCTTTCTTCCATTTACCTACATGTGCACTGAAGTCTGCTCCAATCACCAGTCTTTTCCACATGGGGAAACTTTCTACCACTTCAGCTAGCTTACTTCAGAATCCTTCTCTTTCTCTCTCTTGTCTGACAACCTATGCATTAAGCCAAGCGCTGGCCAATCCCATATGGAAATCTTATTATTTATCAGCATGTTTGATTTGGTAAATATTTTACATTGGGAACCCTTCCTGACCCAGAACTCCCCGGTTGTCTGGGTTTAGGAACAGCAATAGAAATACTAATCAGTAATTCTGAGCTAGAGTTTGCCAGAGACAGAGATATCTACTCAGGCAGACATTGTCTCTCTAAAGGACATATGTCCAAAAAATCGGTACATACATTCACCACTCCACAGTTCACTCACGTTTGTCCTGTTACAACTCAAAACAAAAAGGCAAAGTGATGTTAATTAAAAGAAACATAAACATTACCAACTGTACCAACTGTAGCAGATGTGGAAGGTAGATTTATAACACATAGCTCTCTGCGGTATTTCACCTTTAACAATGGTTTACCTAGCCTTCTTTGGCAACATTCCTTTCAGCACAACCTCACATGTCTGAAGTTATTTTTTTCATTTCCACATACTGTATTACCACAACTGGTCTAAAAGCACACAAAAAACATAACATCAGAGTGGGAAAAATGTGATTTTGTTTACTATGATGTCTCTAACGAATCATTTTTATAATTTGAAATGCAAGTATAAATCAGAAATTTCAGAAATGTATGCACATCCAATGGATGTGCTAGGATGCATCATTAGTGATGTATCCTGGGTTCTTTAGGTGTTAGGATCTTACACCCTCACCCAGGTGACCCAGCCGAGGTTGATCATGCCCTAGCTGCAGCAGCATTTGGCCATGGATCACCCCTCTCAATCCACAAGCACCTGGAAGCTTAGCAGTGTGTACGCTCTGTGGAGAGACTGGCCGGTGACACCTCTGCAGCCTACTTCCACAGGGCATGCTTGCTAACCCACAGGGCATGCTTGCTAACCCTCCAACACTCTTCCAGAACACCCTGGCATTTGGCCAGCTACCTTCCAAATGCCCTCTATGCAGTCTCCAAGGAACCATCAATTCTATCAGAGCTATCTGTCTTGAGGCCTCTGACATTATCACAATATCTGGGCACAAAGATGTTTTTGCAATGTGTGCTGGGTTGTGAGCGTTAGGTTGTTGCTTACTTGCTGTTATCACCGAGGAGATGCTTTCACCAGCTACCATCAGCAGCTGGTCATGGTGCCAGCAGAGGTATAAGGACTCGGTAAGCAATGTTGGGAAGGTTACTTTTAAAATGTATTCCATTACAGATTACAGAATACATGCCCCAAAATGTATTCTGTAACGTATTCCGTTACGTTACTCAATGAGAGTAACGTATTCTGAATACTTTGGATTACTTAATATATTATCATGCTGTTTACAACTACGTGAATGTACTATTGCTGTGATTTATTACTGTTACTGAAGGTCCGCGGCTCCGAACCGTAGTAAAGGGACCTCTGGCTAATACCTCGGGTTCGTGTTGGGCTCGTAGCCGAAAACTAGCTTTACTTTGTTGTCTGGGTCAACTTTGCTTGCGAGAGACAGAGAGAGGTGTTGAAAAGCTGCTCCAACAGAACTTATTGTTTTTGGAGGAAAACACGAACACGGTATAGCTTACTTACAACTGGGCTCGTCGGGCACTCTTCTTGGCTGCAGTGGTTATTATTATATTTACATGCTTCCAGCTCCCGATTTTGCTCGATGACAGCTCGTACTTTTTCTCCCTCCCTCGCTCACAGACACATAACGGGTATGGCAGTCCATTCTCCCTGCAGCACGGACTACACTGCCTATGATGCTACATTCTTTAGAGCTATACCTGTAGCATTCTGCCTATTAGCTTAGCACAACAACAACAGGCGCTCTCTCACCCAGGAAACACGCAGAGAGAGAGCGTCACCCTGTAACCATGGCAACTGTAACGCTGCCGCCTGGAACAACAGAAGTAGCTGTCAAACAAAACCCAAACAGTCCTGACCCGCCACAATATGAAACAGGGAAGTACGCCGTGTAATCCAATTATTTCAACAAAGTAACTGTATTCTAAACACCACCTTTTTAAACGGTAACTGTAACGGAATACAGTTACTCATATTTTGTATTTTAAATACGTAACGGCGGTACATGTATTCCGTTACTCCCCAACACTGTCGGTAAGATATCATATACAGCTTGGATGAGGAACTTTTATCACTACTTCTTAGCCAGTAGATTGCTGTTCTTCAAATTGGATTAAATCAAGCTCAGTAGACAACCCATGGTTGGACCTAGAACAAGCATTCTGCAGACAATTAAAAATCTCTGATTTGCCTTTTATTAGCTCTAGGGTATTATTATTTTTAGAGTTAAGAATCATAACTGCCTTAAAAGTCTTTGCAGAAACACTTCTCTGACATCCTGCTGGGAATTTCTAAAAATAACAAAGTCTTCCTTTACCTCATGTAAACTGACAACCATTTGAAACAATCCAAATGGGTGTCCAGAACATGTTATTCAAGAGAAAACTTATTTTCATTCAAAGAACTTTTATCAAATTATGGAATCAGCAACAGTAAATTTCTTGAATATCAGCAAGTCCATCGTACAGAAAACAGCCGTCAGCTGAACTTAGAAATGCATACATGGGCGAGAGCATTTTTAAATCTTTGTATCCCTAAATTGTTATCAAAAAATGTTATTGTTAAAAATCGATGACTCAATTTTACTTCCAGCTGAAAAATGGGGGCGAGATCTCTCCATTAAGGTTACCTGGACACACATATGCTTAAATACGATCAAAATGTTGCAAGTCCCAACTTACAACTTACACAAACCTCTCCATAGAACACACTATACATGTTCCAAGTGGGCATTATACACTCAAACATATGCACCCACTGCACAGGCAATTCTGGAGCCAGGAACCTTATGCATACACATAAACATACACACACACACACACCTACACATGCACACACACACACATACACACACAAATACAACACAAGACGGTTGATTTGTTTTTCTCTTCCGGGTGCTGTTTGTGATTGTTTTCTTGTATGTTTTTTTTCTTAAACTTGCAGCTTTTGGCGATTTATTGCTTCTCTGTTCTCTTTATCCTTTTATATATTTTCTGCCCTTTTTTTCTCTCTCTCCTACTTTTATAATAATAATAATAATGTATTGGATTTATATAGCGCTTTTCAAGGCACCCAAAGCGCTTTACAATGCCACTATTCATTCACACACTGGTGGAGGCAAGCTACGGTTGTTTTTCAGCTTTGACACTGTTATGTTACACATGTACTGTAATAACAGAAATAATGTTCATAGAAATTAATAACTTAACATGTAAAAGAAGCACATGAACAAGAG